TGTATGTATGTATGTATGTATGTATGTATGTATGTATGTATGTATGTATGTATGTATTCGTTTACTTATTTATTCTGTTTATGGTTGCCCACCTAAATCAATGACTCTGGGTGGCTTAGAGTTCAAAAATATATTACATTTAAAGCTCTAAAACATTTTAAAAAAACAACACACAATAAAAACATCCACAATAAATCTACACAGTAGCTGAGATACATAATCAGTTAGCAATAAAGCTAGGAAACAGGGCCCTTGACATATTCAGCATCCCAGGTTGGGGGAACATAACCAGGTTTTGTTACAATATAATGATATTACATTATTACAATATAACAATACAACATGGCCACAGTTTTGTTACAACTTCTAACATGAAATTTGTGCCAATATCTGTGACAATGTCCACTGACCATTTTATCATAGCAAACATATCTGCTTGAGACACAGTCCGAATTTGAGCCACACCACTCACAGCCACAGGATGGCATAATATAAGTCAAGGCAGCACTTGGCCTGGGTAATTTCAAATAGCATTTAGACTTATATACCGTTTCCCACAGCCCTCTCTAAGCAGTTTACAGAGTCAGCATATTGCCCCCAACTCTTTGGGTTCTCATTTTACTGACCTCAGAAGGATGGAAGGTTGAGTCAACCTTGAGCCAGTGAAAATTGAACTGCTGGGCAGTCAGCAGAATTAGCCTGCAGTACTGCGTTCTAACCACTGTGCTATCACAGCTGATGATGGATTGGTCCATGATATTCTCTGTATGCTGACCTTGATCACAGAATTTCACATAGGCAATTACATCCTACGTTCTTCTCAGTAGAATCTTTGAATCAGTCTCCCTTTGATACTGCAGTTTCATTTGGGTAGTCCTAAATCAAACTCAGCTTCCTCAAGTAAAATTGGGTGGGTGCCATAAGCAATCTATAAGGCTTACATTTCTTCTTCCTTCTCCTTTCTCCCTCCCCTTCTCTCTCAATAGAAGGGCATCTTTCACAATGTTCTGGAATTCTTGGGCTCTTATAAGGTGAAAAGTCACTCTCTGCTAATATTAAGACTGTGGCTAGATTTACCTCACCATCATGTGCATCATGGAAGGCTTCCATCATAGCAACAACATCACAACTGTTCTTCCTATCAGCCTTAGCCCCTGGGTTTGTTCTGAGGAGGGGAGATCTCAATAAGGGGTTTCTTTCCTTTCCTGGAGTTATTTAGTAAATTGTCTACTCAGGACAAGCTCTTGCAGGGAATGGATTGAAGATATTAATCCTCTGAAGGGTTATCTGTTTCTGGATCATGTGAGCATTGTTTTAATGAGAAATTTCCCTTTACAATAATGCAGGCTTAGAAATAAACACATGAGAATAAGGTTATTTGGGAAAGATCTAAATAACCACTTGAATAACCACTCTGAATTTCAAATAAAACCAGCAAAATCACCTTAATTTTATTTGCAAGTTATGGGCTTCATCAGGTTCTTGAACCTAAGTTTATATATTCTAAATATTTGTTTAGATGTTATTACACAGTAGTCTTCTTTTGTCAAAGCAGAAAACCTGCTTCTTAGAGAAGATAATCTATTGTCTTGTCCAATTAAAGAGTACATTTTTCCCCTGATGTTGAAGACTTTGCTGGTTTTCTAGTGCATCTTATTTTGTGCATGGTTTAGTTTCTATAAGCTTTTTGTTTGGCCATAATTCAGCCATGTATAAAGGCTGTTCACCTAAGTATGTAATCATTACATTCTCATTTAAGACAAGCAGCTACCTTGTAGCATAAACTTTCTTAGAAGTATTGGATAGAGGGGTCCCAAGTATGCAGATCATATAAAGAATAATGGATGCCGATTGCCATCTTTGTTATACATTTCCCCATATAATACTATAAATCTGAACCACTAGTATCCATCAGGCCACATAAATTAGACCATGAATTTTGAAAGAGACACATATTTAATTCTTTTTCATTTTAACAGATAAGAGATAATGTGGGTATGCAGATGCCAGGATATTTGAATGGAAGTGTGTTATTCCTGGAGCTGCCCTAAGATGATGGGGATGTTGTAGTTGGTTCTGAAGGTGGAATCAGGTAGAATGTTACTTGGAAGAGTTATAAATTAATATTAAAGAGAAGACAATTTGTCCAGACTCCAGCTCAGGAGCACCTAGCTAACTTATTTTGAAGGGTGTCACTAAATTAAAGGAACAAGAGTCAGAAAAATATGGCGGCATTATTCCCGACCGACTAACCACTTCTACCAATCATCATTATCATTATAGGAAGGCTGAAACTTGCTTGTTAGGTGGATGTTTAAAGCATAAAGGACATGTTCCAATTGTTTGTTTGCTCACCCAACTGCCTTCCATTGTTGGGACTAGGAATGGAATGTATTATTCTCATGGCAGTAACTAAGCACATATGCATGTCAGTATTTAATTCTAGTAAGGATAGGTAGCTCTTGCTCTCAAGGTTACAGTCTACACTGATGCAGCACAGAAAGGAAACAGGAAGGAAAAAGAAAGCGAGCTTCAGCCTTCCTATTGTTGTGGTTCGCTGGCAATCTGTGCAGATGGCAGTGGAACCAGACAGTGGGGAACAACGAAGACCAGTCCGGGAGTCGGACGAGGGTCCTGCATCAGATGCAGAGAAGGGGCCAGGAGTGGGGTGCTGACTCCAGAGTCTGGCGGCAGCGAGGCAGAGGAACAAGGGGAGCCTGTTCCCAGTGTGCGTGTGTGCAGAGCTGCTAGAAGGCAAGAGCAGCTAAGACAAAAGGGCGACTTGGGAATAAACCCCAAAAACTTTAACCTTAGACTGTCTACCATTGACCTCACCCCTTTCCTAAGAGGTCTGTAGGGGGCGTGCATAAGCGCATCAACGTGCCTACCGTCCCTGTCCTATTGTTTCTCTTATTCTTCTTTTATCTTTCTTATATGTACCCATTTCATGTATTCACAACTATGTATACACTTATACTTATTATCTTGTAAACAATTGGCAAATCAAATAAATAAATAAATAAATAAAATAAAATAAATAAGTGATTGCCCCTCCCCTAAGGTATAAAGGAAGGGCAAAGGTAGAGAAAGCTTTGCAGGAAGCAAAGTCATTCATTCTGTTCAGATTAAACCTTGAAGCTCTGTGTGGACTTTGTACTTTGTTTGGGTTTTTTTGTTTGTTTGTTTTTTAATTTGGCACTTTAGTTGTTGGCAGCAATACAAAGAAGAGAAATGTGGGTGCTTAGGGAGCCTCTGTGGCACAGTGGTTAGAGTGCAGTACTGCAAGCTATTTCTGTTGCAGCCAGTTGCCTACAATTTGGCAGTTCAAATCCCATCAGGCTCAAGATTGACTCAGCCTTCCATCCTTCCAAGGTGGGTAAAATGAGGACCCAGATTGTTGGGGGCAATAGGCTGACGCTGTAAAACCTCTTAGAGAGGGCTGTAAAGCACTATAAAGCGGTATATAAGTCTAAGTGCTATTGCTATTATCTCAAGGCACATAACTCCCAGTGTTGAAATAAAACAAGAGTTATTTGGACTAAGCGTGTGCTTAATTATGTTCTCAGGAAGCCTTGGTAAGAACACCTATAATGATTTGTGGCACCAACGTGCCTACCGTCCCTGTCCTATTGTTTCTTGTTATTTTTCTTATATGTATCCATTTAATGTATTCATAACTATGTTTATACTTATAATCGCTTGACAAAACAATCAATCAAACAAACAAATAAATAAAGTGGATTGTTTAGATCAGGGATCCCCAAGCCCTGGGCCACAGACCAGTACCAGTCTGTGGCCTGTTAGGCCTGTTAGGAACCAGGCCACACAGTTGGAAATGAGCAGCAGGTGAACGAGCAAAGCTTAATCTGTATTTGCAGGTAC